ATTGCGATACCTGTAACTACTCAGCTTGATTGCTACGACTGTGTCCTCAGTTTGGCTATTCCACATCAATCTGTTGTCCATAAATACCAGCAGAGAATTTGAACTAGTCGTTACACAAAGGCGGATAGAGGGAGTCTCCTCTGAAAAGTGTCTCGAATGAAACCAGCAACCTGAACTTCTCTGATCTAACAGTTTTGAGATTTTAATCCGATTCGGTGCTACAAATGCAACATTGGGGCTCCGCTTAGTGGGGGGGGGGGGCATTTTTCTAACTTTTCACTTTCTATTAGTAGTTCTCATTAATTCATACGTTTCACCTTGGCGAGACCTGTTAACTCTTGACAAATATCAACGGAGTTCATGCTATTGCCTAGCTTTACAAAACTTTACAGCAGGCATCGCAATGTTAGACAGTAAGCAGCAAAATGCCCCCATAGAACCGAAGTCCATGCGCCTAATAATTCTGTCAGTTCCCACAGCTCACAATTATTCTTTTGTTAGAAGACTACTTAGTGAGACTCTACTGAACCCACTTCCAGTATTGTAGACCATGAGTGCAGTTCCGACACGTTCGAGGCGAATCTGCCATCGTACGGTACCACCAGTGGTAAGACAATAGACGGTGTAGCGGCAAAGGCAGATAATGGATGGTTGAATCGGTGGCGTGTCCTCCATCGCCATGTCTACGCACGTGTCTCCCAAATTGAAGGTCCAATCGAACTGAAACATTAGAATAACCAAATCCGGTTTTGATTTAAGAAAGCAGTCCACGCTGTTCGTATGGGCGGGATGAGGCGTAGCATTGTGCCTAGCTCATTGGCGCGTCTCTCAGTCCTAATGCGGCCAGATATAGTGCAAAAGCGAGGAGGTGCAATGGTTCACTGTCTCCACCCATTCTCCGTCCATATAATTGGCGAGGAATTAGCCTTGGAAGGCAGCGATCTCAGGAAAAAATGAAGCTCTGAAGCTAGTTACAGTAGAAGAAACGCTACCACTCGCAGAACTGAGAGAGGCAGCCATTTCGTCTGCCCCTAGCGGCGTAGGCCGTGGCTCACCAAGTGGAAGGGGCACATCGAGCCCATACTTTTTTACTGTGAACGCGTTACAGTCTTTGCTGCTGGCGCTGAAACGTGTTAGGGGGGAAGGAGGTTAGAGCAGCGCTGATCCGCTCTCCACCAAATGTGGAAGCTAGCAGAGTACAGTTGCTGGAAAATTAGCTGACGCCGCGCTAAATCCAGCCCTCTCGACACTCCCCAGAGCGGCGGATAAGATTGAATCTAGGGCAAACCTCGTTCCATCACGAGGCCAGGGGCTCTACTTGCTTACAACAAAATCTAGGCGGGGAAATATAAAAAATGTCCGAAGTGGTATAAAAGCCATGAAATAATGTGAGTCTTACCGTAACCCTTTTGCCGGTGTTGCCAAGACCTGCTAGCAGGCTGAACTTCACACTATGCAGTTGTCCTCCATTTGAAGTAACTAAGGAGGACGACGGGTAGCAATAGGATACTGGTCCAGGATGGAGAGCTGGCAACGGAGAACGAGAGAATACACACTGATCGCCTGAATAAGTACAGAATGAGCCGCATTTCTACTACCTACGACCAATTAAGTGGATATATCCGAAGACATGAATGGAGCAGGGGATCATCAAGGTTAGCAGAGACCAATCACCCCATTAAAAACTAAAGTCGAGCCTTCGCCGTGATCAGTCCCCTTTTTTGGATGGATCACGCATTCTACTTCCATTCATAATAGTACTGGATTTATTGATTGCGATTTTCCCTATACACTTACTTGCGGGGCCACGCGATGTACAAGATAATTTTCTTACCCTCTTGGACAAGTGTGGTACTAAGTTACCGTCCCTGGAAGGTAAAAGGCTTGCTTGATCCGAGAGCCGACCCATGATTTGACCCCCGGATCGCATGGTTAGCCCTGGCTTCCTTTATTTCCCACTGCTACCGCTACTACTAGTCCATATTTTGGGCACCGCAGCTGATTCCACGGCAATCATTTTGGTGATGGATTACTTGGGTTTGGTCAGCTGTTGTGCTCCTTGACTACTCGGACTCACCTTGATAGAGAGTGAGCACGCATCCGATGGATTGCACGAGCAACTGCTGAGTTCCTGTGGACGGAATCGTGCACATGTTATAGGCATGTTCAGGCGTTTGATGTGAAAACATCTCCTCCAATTTCGTTCGCGACTGGTCTGTGGCATCTAAACAAGGAAAAACTGGGAGTACTAAATTTGTTCGAATATTGTGCCTTCTCGGACACGGTACAGCATCGTCGTGTGAAAGACATAAGGGGGGGGGGTCATTTTTTGCTGGGAAGGGGGTCGTATTTAGTCGTCGTTGGGAGAGGGGGAGGGTCGTATGGGGCTTTGAGAGGAATTTGCCGAGATGGGAAAAATTTCTCCCGGGAATAATCGTACCGAGACCTGTTTTAGGTGTGAGCGGTCGTACTGAGACCACCATTTCACACATCACGATGCTGTACCCTGTTGCCGGAGCCCCACTAGGATCTAAAACGGTAACAAAATTTCTGCCGTTGAATTTTATTTTGGGATATGGCATGTTTCCATTTTGATTCAGGACCGTAAAAGCTAACTGAATGCCATGTGGCCTATTAAATGGCTTGCGGGGCCAGCTGTACGAGTCAGTGTTGTTATCCGATGAATCTGCTAACAGTTCACCGTCCTCCGAGGGTAGGCCTGGGCGAGGCCCATCCGGGATTTTGCTGTCGGAACGCGCGTATTAAGGCTTATAAACTCCCAGTACCCGTCCAGATCCCACTACGATCCCGTCTGGGTGCCGAAAGGCATGGCTTCTCACCCTGCGTTTCTATACGGGGAACTTTTGAGGTACATGGTGATCAGTTCGATAATGAAATTCTACAGGGTCAAGTCACACCAGGAGCCAGAGATGGAAGCAAGTCAATCTTAAAACACATCAAGGCGCTATTAGTCTTGAGTCAGGGACATTTTAAGAGCTTCTCGCCAGAAGTGGAACTACCGCAATGGAGGATAAGAACTTTCCCCTGGGTCTGAAGCGGGAGAAGCTAGCGGGTTAAAGGAGGCGATTTGTCTGGCAATTTGTACGGAAATTCTATTCGAATATTAAAGGATAAAAAGGATAAAGTCTTCGCCGTTGATCAATCCCTTTGTGGGATGCGGCACGCATTCTACTTCCATTCAGAATCGTAGTGGCTTATTGAATGCGATGTGGCCTATACAATGACTTGCGGTGGCCAGCCGATGTACAAGTCAGTGTTTTATCCTCCCAGACGAATCTGGTACCAATTTACCGTCCCCGG